CACACACACACACACACACACACACACACACACACACACACACACACGTAAGCTCCTAAAAACCAACACAAAGGTCGCAGAGGGAGGCGTGTTGAGCCATCATACGTCTCTGAAAACCTTTGCGCTGGAAACATGTTCCGCCAAGAATGAGAGAAGAAGAAATAAACAAACTTTTCCCCCTTTTAGTGTCAGATCTTGGACAAAAATACCAACACCGGGGGATTTTWWAAAAAAAAAATCACTGTTCACACACATGCCATTCAGAACAAACACATTCCTGAGGAAAGGGAGGACCGAGGCGGGCACGGTTACAGGAGAAATGTGCCAAAAGTGACACAAACAAAACACAAAGCAAGGAAACACGAGCGCCCGTTTGATTTCCGCAGCAACACCTGGAGACACTGCAGTTTGTGACATATAATCCACACCGATCACTGGGGTAAACTGAGCCTAATTAGCCTGAAAAAACATGAGCCTGACATCAGAAGATCAGTGAAAGTGAATTTACTCACCACTCCTTGAAATGTGGGAGGAATGAGGCCGCAATACACGGGGATGTAGGCACTGCAGACACATGCCTAATTGATACATGGAAAAAAATATTGCCAATTACACACTTAAATAATAAAACAAACATCTTCAATCATGTTTTTCTTAGCACAAAAAGTAAGTATGGTTTGCCCTTGATAGATTGTTTCTTTGTTGTAACAATTGTATACTGTTGGAAAACCTGTTAAATTCCTTTTAAATGGTGCCACATTTGTAAGGAGCATGCATTTGTGGGATGAGCAGTAGAGCTGAGCATGTGAGTTGCACACATGTAAAATTCGCCAGATCTTCTCTGCCAGACAACTTATTTTGCTGTTACTGTTGACACGTTCTGAACTTCTGGTACCTCCAGGTGCTGCTATAAGATTTATTGCCTAGAAGCTTTGTAACAACAAAGAAATATTCTACCAAACACATATTTCCTTAGTTTTTGTGCTAGGCTTATTTATCACCATTTTTTAGAAACATTCATGGCAAAACATTAGCTAACTTCAATGTTTTTTTTATTAGATTTGTGGAGATCTACTTAATGCTGCGTTCACGCCGAACGCGATTTCAGCTTCAAAATCGCATCCAACGCTTCAAGTTGGACGCTTGTGCACTTTGAGGTCAGACGCAGGACAGCTCTTGAAGCGCTCGCACGGCAACAGCCTCCCCGCCCCTCCCTCCTCTGTCGGGCTCTGTTTAATGTCGGACGAGGAAGTGGCTTTGCTTTATTTACAGAGAGCAAGAGCATGTCACGTTCATCAGATAATTAATTCATAATTAATTCACCAGATAATTCAGAGACATTCTGAGTTTCATCACCCAGGAGCTGCGGGAGAGGCTCACAGCTCCCTTTCAGGACTATTTTTGTCCCGAGTCCAGTCTGATGAGTCGCTGCCACGCATTGGTGCGGATATCTCTGTCAGGACACCGACTGCAGGCACTCGATTTCAGCTAAAGAGCTCCTCTCCATCTGTTTCAGGTTAGTGGACATCATTCAGTAAACTGTCCCGTCGGGAAATATGTCGCTACGTCACACAGTGGAGTCTCTCTGATTGGTTGATGCTGCGCGTCGAGCTGCAAAAGTTCCGATTTTCTAACTTCAGAGATTTGCGCATCAAGCACGTCGAACGCTCAGATCGTTCAAATCGCGCTGCTCTAATCGCRCTTGAGGCGCCGCAGCCCTTCCCGACGCTGCTTGAAGCGCGTCCACCATAGACTTTGCATGTAAACCTGATGCTCCTGATGCTGAAAACGTGTTTGGTGTGAACGCACCATAAGACCTGCAATTTTGTGTTTCATRACCTACAATCAGATCCCAACCCCAACTTTGAGAACCACGGCTGTCAACATTGCAGCTACATTAAATTAGGATTTTTCTTATATGGTAGGTTAATTTAAAAAAKCATTGCAATGTTTTTTTTCTTATTTTGACATTTGCGCTACAATCAGTTTTACTCGTTAAGATTTTTTTTAAATAACTGATTAAGTCAAACATTACATTTTAAGTACTTTAACTGTTCACTCCTCTGGGGGAAAAAGTCAGTGTTTGCATTGAAAAGACACAAATGAGACATTCAAACATATCATTTACAGCAGCAAAATAACAAAGAGAAGTAAAAATCATCACATCTGATAAACTGGAACTTAAGAAATTCAACCATTTGCTCACTAACTGATATATGAAGTTTTCTCTAATGCAGCAGCTCCAGAGTGTTAAGATAACACACAGGTGTTTATATAAAACTCATGAACTAACTCTAATAAAAAGTATTAATGATGCAGAAGGGTGTCAGTGTTCTGTGTATACCTGCACCACCTCCTCCTTGTTGTCGAAGTGGGACACCAGCACGTTTTCTCTGTCTGTGACTCGGGTGAGAGAGATGCCCAGTCGGCCGCTCGCCCGGTGGTGACAATCAGCTGGCAGTGTGCGCCGCAACATGTGGCGCACGATCTTCACCAGGTTGAAGGAAGGATGCATGGGTCCGAGGAATCTCTTCCTCGCCTCTTTGGCAACATCAATGATGTTCGCACCAACCTCCCCTGTAGAGAAGATTTCTTTTAAAGCCTGTTGGTGACTCCAGAATTGATCCACAAATAATGATACCTCAGATTTTTTGTTTGTTTGTTTTAGTTTATGCACATTAAAACTTTTGTCGCCATAGGGCCGAAATGACCCGAGGGCCCCAGTCTCAAAACTGAGGCCTCAGGGTTCATTATGACCAAGATTAAAATCAGATTTGTACATTTTAAGTCTTTTTGCACCATTTGCTTTATATTTTGCATATATTGAGTCTTATTCAAATTTTCAGTCAGTTTGTAGAACTGACTTTTCAATTCAATTCAATTCAGTTTATTTATATACGGTTAGGGTTAGGGGTTAGGGTTTGTGCACCAAGTCACAACATACGTTGTCTCAGGGCACTGTACATGAAAAGAACAATCTAAAGAAGAAATCAGCAGGCTGTGTTGAATCACTTCATCACAGTCTCCCATCCTGAGCAAACAGTGGAGAGGAAAAACTCCCTGCTGATCAGGAAGAAACCTCCAGCAGAACCAGGCTCAGGACAGGCGGCCATCTGCCTCGACCGGCTGGTTGAGGGACAGGGAAGAGACACAGACAAACACAGAAGAACTGGTGCAGGTGCACCTTCTTCTGAAGGAGACAAAGAAAAAACAAGTTATTGATAGAAACTTTATTATCATRTTTTCAATTTGCATTGTGTTTTTTTATGTGCTGTAAAAGTAAAAGGGAATATCTATCTATCCATCCATCTGAACAACAATATTTTGATTAGTCTAAAATAAGAGATGCTTTATGGCTAAATTAACCCTCCTGCTGCCATTTAGTCAAAATGACCCATAGGCTTCAGATGCCTTGTAGGTCATTTGGACCTTTTTATTGCATTCAAAGCGAAGAAATACGAGTATAGTGTTTTATGTTTTTCTTCTTTTTTTCCTTTTACTTATCTTTCTTCATTCTATCTCACCCTCTCCTGTATTGAGCTGCAGTAATGTGCAAATTTCGGATCAATAAGTTTGATCTCATCTTATCTTACATATCTAACTTGGCATGATAAGAAAATATAATAGGAAAATAAGAATTACAAAACAGTCAAAGATGAATGTGTTGCAGGRCATTAAAAAGCCTTTCACTTTTATTCTTATAAGACTAATTTACACCTAGAGGAGAGTTTTGTTTTGATTTGGGTACATTTATTCAGTCTAATCCACAAATAATYTGAGGAGCATTTATTCCAGATGCCTGTCCATGACTGACCCATAGCATACTCTTACCCAGACAGACTTCAGTGACCAAAGCAGTGGCGGTGAGAGCTCCAGCAGATGCTCCATAGATGTGCCTGGCGTTCTGGACCAGGAAAGGAGCCTGCTCCTGCAGGCAGCTGGCCACACCGACGTGGTAGATCCCCAAGAAGCCGCAGCCTGCGAAGGAGATGTTCCACGGAGAGTCTAAAGGGAACATTCTGGGAACCGCGTCTACAGTAAAAAATATATTAACTCCGCTTTTTTAACAAAAAGAAAACCGGTCACAAATCCACCTACTTGCTGCTTGAGTTTACAGATACTGTTATTCTGCTAGCATCTCCGTTGAGTAAAACATAATAACTTAACTTAAACTAGTTTGTTTTCAGCAGCACAACAAGCAAAGCCGACTACTTTACATTATTAACAAATACACGAGTTCTAAATGTTAAAACTAAACCTTGTTAGTAAACTATTAGTAATCTACGGCTAGTTAATAAATACGTAGTAAACTATGGAGAAACCTGTTGTTTCACGTGCAGCTCCGAAGTATAACGTTTGGTGGGCGTAAGCTAAACATAGGCTCGTCCAMTCAAATTTGAGACCGCAAGGCACATTGACCAATCAGAATCAAAGAAGGTGGCAACATCAGCCAATCAGGAGAGACGTCACAGGGGCAGGGATTGCGGTCATTGTGACAGCTGTTTTTTTTTTTAATTCCCAGGAGGAACTCCACATTTTGTTTTGGACTTGCGAAACTAATTTCCGTGTTGTGTTCTTACTTTTTKAAGAAGACGGGTCTCTAGAGACGAAAGTGGGCTTTATTTGGATTTTCTTTTTCGAGAAGGTGTATTGATTTCTTCTAATACAGTTATTGTCAGAATGTTGTTTACAGATCAATTGCTTCTTCTAACACTGGTATTCTTTCTGCGAGGTCACACAAGTTTTACATTAAACATATTTCAATGTACAAGTATTGTTAATTTTGTTTTTACAATTAATAGTAATGTAAAATATTTAAAAAGTTAATATTCACAAGTTGTTTTGTTTCTTTAGCAGATTCAGCAATATCCCTAAAACGTAATTTCCTTGAATAAACTCTTCACAGAACTGGTCTACAAATAGACCCTATTGTGAGTTGATAAATATTCTGATTAGGACATTCTTAGGAGTATATCCTGTTGTGAAACAAGAAGCAGCTGCAGTTCATGTTTCTAAAATCGCACAGCCCGTTTTTCCACAAATATGCCTCAAAAATAGGTCAAAATGTTTTATTTCGCTAAGTTTTAAACGCCGTTTCTGCAATTTATACATGACCACATTTTCATCAAAATCACACATAGGCCTACAGTATTTAGTACTGACTTAAAAAAATAAAGTTTAAAGTTTTCTTAAAATACAGATGACAAACTTTTCCAAACTGTTTTGTTTTTATTGTTTACCATTTTAAATGTATATCATTAAATTTATTTTCCTAATAAACAGTTCAGTGCAAGATTAAGTACATATCGAAAGTGTCAATACTAACTTGTGATTAAAAAAAACAAATATCACCATAAAAACACTTATGTAATCTAAAAACAGCAAATGTCAGAAATGAGACTAATAAACAGCGCCACCCAGTGGTTGACTGAGGGAACGGCACCAAATGACCCGTCCCGCCCGTAGTTGAAGCTTTGGCGGCGCTGTCATGAAGGCGTTTGTTTATWTAAAAAAGAAGAACCGGAGAGGCGGGGTCTTTGCTTCTAAAATGGTAATGGATTTGTTGGTGCAGCTCACTCATGTGGCCAACCGGCACACAATATAAACAAAAACGAGCACGAAATTATGATGAAACCTTCGCTTTTAAAAAACATTTTGAAAACAGGAAGTAGAGAAGTTGGCACTTCCCAACAAGTGTTTCTCGTCTTTTGCTTATCGTACACTATGATAGCTATCTGCTAGCACTAACAACTTAACGGAGTGTAAAAAAAATAAGTTTATTTTATTTTTAATTTTAAAAATAACTTCTCGCTAACAGTGTTTGCTACTGTGACGGCTACATTGTTTAGAAAGTATGCTTGACGCGTGCTTTCKTACAATTACCCACAGGGTTTCATGAGCTGCACCTGGCTGTAAAAGGCCGGAATAAGTTCAGGTCATGAGAAAAATTGTGCTGAATGGAGAACAACGGTGAAGAAGACGGAGCTCTTGATGAGGAAGAAGGTCCAGACCAGGCAGGTGGAAGGAGGTCAGAGGATGGAGAAGCAGGAGTTACAGCTGCATGCTTCCCATCAAGGACTACATCCAAAGCGTCAGACTTCTTGACACATATGCTGCCTTATAGTGAAAGACTTGGAAACCWGGATGAGGACAAATTAGATACTAGACCATGGATTTTACATGATGTGGTTAAAGGCAAGGGAGAAGTTGCTGAACCAGAGAGGGATGCTCAATCTCCTGTTCTGGACACATGTGATCCCTCCATATCATCTCTCTCCTCCACCTCTACTTGCTCCTCTAGCCTTCAGCGCATTGAGTTTCCCTCATCATCGTCATCCTCATCCTCCTTTGGCTCTACCTTGTCTCTGTCCCCACCCTTGCCTCCGTCTGTGGAGCTGTCAGCTGTGCTGACGGACACCAGGCTGACCCTGGATGTGTATCCGGGTGGAGCAGCTGCACTGCCGTTGTTGTGGGGCTCCRTCCCCGAGCAGCTGAGGGGCCTGCAGTACCTGAGACTGGGCTCTGAGGAGAAACCAGGGCTGGACGGTGCTCTGGATGTTTTACCAAAGCTTACAGCGCTGCGTTCACTGGCCATTCGGGGTACTTAATATTTCATGTGGTACTCACATTGATTCAAATGCTTATTTACATCTTTTTTTGTTAAACTTCTAAATACAAAAGCATAAAGTAAACACTTAAGAAACTGTACTGCTTACTAATTGTATGTTTCCGTTTCATTAAAGGACACTGCCTTTATGAYTCCCAAGGTGAACCCCTGCCTGGCCTCCTCACCACTTTGCCTCCATCTGTGACCACCCTGACTCACCTGGTACACCTGGATCTCTCCTTCAACCAGCTGTCCCAGCTCCCGTCCTGCCTGCTCGGACTGCCTGCACTCTCCACGCTGCTCCTCTGTCACAACCACATCTCAGCTTTGCCTTCCGATTTAGGCCARCTAGCTTCCCTGACCTACCTGTCCCTCCTGGGCAACGACTTGGCGTCTCTCCCCCCGAGCTTGTGTCAGCTGAAGTCGCTGCAGACCCTGGATGTGTCGCACAACCTCCTCCAGCGGCTGCCCGAGGACATTGGCTCTTTGGGCGAGCTTGTTCGGTTGGAAGTGTCCCACAACAAGCTGAAGCAGCTGCCAAAGAGCATGGGTAAGAGTTTACCGGTGAGTGAGTGTGTCAGCCGAAGACCTTCAGTGAAATGAGCAGGACGTTCAAGTTCCGTAATAAAAAAAAAATGCTTGTTTTATTTTTGCTGCACAGGCTTCCTCCTCTCTCTCAGGGAACTTGTAATCTACAGCAACGACCTCCGCCACATCCCGGACTGTCTTAATCAWCTGCCTCTGCTTAAAATAGATCTTCGAGACAATCCTATAGGAAAACCTCCAACTCCACCTCCTCTTCCTCACATACCTGGTGAGCAGAGCTGCTTCAAGTCGATATTTGCTCTGATTGGTTTCAACTTAAATAACTCAGTTTCTTATTTTGCATTTAATATGTGTTCTTAACTAGATCAACCAGAGACAAAACCTCCAGAGTTACACCTCAGATTTAATCAGCACAGGTACAGCCTCGTGGAAATATCGGCACTTTTATTAAATTAGCATCAGCTGGTGCATCGTCACCGGCCTCCGTTAAAACGTCTCGTCCTGTTCCGCTCCTTAGTTTCTACGTTTCGTCTGCGGGGTGTCGGGTGTTTCTCCCTGGGGGCGCTGAGCTGCTGTTCCCCTCGGGGTGTCTGGAGACCACCACCAAACTTAGGTGGGCGGAGAAAAGGCCAGACAGGAAGTGGGTTTTACTGGAGGAACATGACATCCTGCTGAGCCGCCCGCTGGAACTCCGTCCCCACGGGAAAACGTTTTTGAAGGTATAAAAGTTGGATTTGATTGAATTGAAATGTTGTTTGCCGCTGCTGACGTAAACATGTTTCACCTTTTGAAGAGTCCCGAAAGAGAAAATATGAAAAATGCTGCATTTTAAATTACTTTTAGGCTTTTATTTTAAACCTCTCACTCAAAGCCTTAATAGCTATCAAAATATGTGCTTTTTTCAAATGTTTTTGATTTGAATTGTWATGCTTCCAACACACTTTCTACAACATTAAATGATTGTTTGGGGTTTAATATTAGTCAAACCCATCTGGGTTTTTTGTGAAAATTTCATTATTCCTCACCTTTTKGTTTACAACTGAGTCAGTTACAACAAAGAGTTTATAATTGTTGGCAACAAAACGTGACTTTATTTCACTCAATTATTACAAATTATTGGTGTGAGTTTTAAGTGTTTAATTTTTTCTTTATCAAAACTGAGACACATTCACAAAAAAATTTGAGAACATTAAAAACAGCTATAATGGCTTTAATAGAACCAATCAAAATTATATTCATCTTAACTTTCACAAAGTCCAAGCCTGCTTTGCTTCTGTTCTGTGAAACAGCTTTCAGTGAACTCAGTCTGACATGACTCCAGATCCCTTCACATTTTTTTTTTTTTTTTTTTTTTTTKTTTTTTTTTTGGTCAGTTCTCTGGAATTGGAAGCTGTCTCTTCAAAAAAAAAAAATCAAATTTGACATTTGTGCTCTTGAGCTTTCGGAGAGTTTTGCACCACGAGCTGATAATAAGTGTTTGTTCTTGTGGTGTCCACTCTTTATGGTAGATTTGCGCAATGATATGCCTGAACCGTTGGGGTTGTTGTTTTCTTCACATGTTCTGAAGGGGTTGGTTTTCCCAAAGGGAAGCTCCTGCAGTCATCTGCTGCGGTTGTCCTCTGTGCACACTCAGGCCTCGTTATGCTGCTGACGTCACAAAGAAATGTTTGTTCCAGAGAGAACCTCGAGTTATGGATTGAGTTTCTGTGATGATTTCGAGTTGTTTCACTTGTATGATTGTAGGTTCACARCAGCAGCTCGCAAAAACAATATGATTTGGGGACAAAAACAAACAAAAAAAAAACAGTGAAGCTGATGGAAAAATAAGAATGAAATCTACAATTTCCACCAGAGCAACATTTGAGTCCACATCAGTTTGTTTTCGGTTTATAAATTCTCAGTTTAATTTGTGTCGTCATTTCGCAGCCTGTGGAGGTGTGTGTGCCATATCGTTGGGCAAAACGAGGTGAGGTGGTGTTGCGGAGGTTTGACGGACAGTCRTGGAGCACTCTGCCTACTAATCTGAGAAGAGGGAGCGAGAACCATAGCTGTCGTCCTGGTGGACGTCCAGCCAGGGTAAGTTTYAAAACTTCCAACTAAAAAACACAATTTTACCCCAAAAATGGACTTGTTACTGGCAGGGACAAAAAAAAAACAAAACCTTTTTGTTGTAGCTGGCGTGCTGCTCGGTGAGCCATTTCTCGTGGTTTATGGCGGTGTCCCGACCAGTCCAGGACAGCTGTTCCCTTACACCAGCTGGAGCCCTGCTGGTTTCCAGCTCTGACCCTGGAATCAAGCTCCACTTCCCTCCTGACTCCACCGTGCAGACCCGCACCGTAACGCTACAGGTGGCAGAAACCKCTACAGAAATGATGCTACTCTGTTTGTAAGAAAGGTTTGTCAGACTTTGGTCTCGCTCTCTGTAGGTGTTGCAGGTTTCTGAGTCAGAGGTGCAGGCTCTGTGTGGGGACCCTCAGGCCAGAGTCAGCTCCCTCCTCTGTCTCTCCCAGACCCCCAGCTTACATTTCCTGCAGCCAGTCAAAGTTCAGATCCCTCTGCCTCCAGGAGTCACAGGTCCAACAAACAATCCAGATTCTCTTGCAGATATGCTAACAGGGTGTTAGCATGTGCTAACTGTTAGCTGCATGTCTGCAGGCCACACGGCTGATATGACCCGTTTACATCTGCTCCACGGAGATCCCACCGCCCACACCTGGTCTGACATCACCTCACAAGTGTCTCTCAACGTTACCCACTTGTACGCTATCTTCTACATCAAYCACTTCTCCTGGTGAGTCCCTGCACTATATTCATTGGATTTACAGTTCAGTTTAATACCTTACATTATCTGCACCTCCACAGGTACTGGCTCTGGTACACCACACAGCGCTGCGTCAGCGGGGCGGTCAGGAAAATCTATCAGAAACTAAAACTGTTTAAAGTCCAGTTCCTGAGTCTGCAGCGGAAGACGGATCCCTCTCAAGTTCTGCTGCAGTGTTTACCTGCTAACAAGGTTTGAGTCCTCCTTTACCGGCTGTTTGACTTTACTAAATATTATTTCTTATTTGTCACCAGAGCGAACAGCTTTATAAACATATCTGATAAATGATGACTGTGCTGTTCTGTGCACAGGTCGAGGGCAGAGTTCAGTCTTTGTCAGAACAATATGATGGACCCCAGCCTTCTGATCTGTGTGACCTGCTGGAGGGAGAGCAGTTTTACGCTGGCTTTGAGAGGGGCTTAGACATCAGCTCAGGTTCGAACTCATCTCTGTGGCCACATCTCTCACTAAGTAATTGATAACAACAACAATAATAATAAATGATGCTGTTGTAAAGACACCTCACGCTGTGTTCCGCAGACAGACCGGACTGTGTCGGAGGACGACTCTGTTTTGTGTTTTACTCCAGCTTGAAGAATCTAAAGGAAGTGTACATCTCTCCAGCTGAGGGTCAGAAAGGACCTGTGAGGGGACAGGTAAGATGTTTTGAACAGTGAACAAAGTGCTGCTTTTGTGCATCATACAGTACATTCAGCCAATCAGGCATGGCTGGTCCATAAGTACAAAAAAAAGTATTTATCCCACAAAGTAGTTCCTCTTAATAAAAAATGTTTATTATATATTTATTTACTTGCTTTGCTGTGCACTACTTTATTTTAAATTTGCAGTAACAGGGCGGTACGGGGCGACACCCTGAGCTTGTCAGTGGTTTTATCATATTAATGCCCCCACGTCCGCAGTAATTGGAACAACGAGCTCCTCCAAACAGAGTCTCATTGGGGCGTTAAAAATGCCACATTCTGCTGGTTTTAGCGCATTGATACGAACAGAAGACCTAACATGAGCTCATAATATGCAGGAATAACACTCAGCAAAACTTGTGTCCAACAGAGGAGATATTCAKTTWAAAAATGTATTTGGAGCAGACAGAACAGACCYGAACAGAACACCAAAAACTGAGGACAGAATAAATCAGTAGTAAAACATGACTTTTTCACCGGTGTAGGACCGTTTTTATCGACGGTGCATGCAGAACAGAAAAAAGTTAAAACAACACATAGAAATTAAGACACAAATCATTTTAACAAATTGATTCTAATTAGTCAGTACACTAAAATGAACTACTGATCCCATCACTAGTTGTTAAATTGAGGCAGTGCAGGCACGCAGAATGGATCTGCACGTGGTTCCTGCTCCTTCCTGTCTGTTGACCAATAGGAGAGGAGCTGACCCAAGAAGGACCGCCCATTTTATTTACATAACGAGGCAGAAATGCATAAGGTAAAATAAAACGGGAAACAGAAAAAGGTAAGAACAAGACGTGGAAAT